TGTGTGTGTGTGTGTTGGTATTCTGCCTGTTATACTGTGCTTTGGGAAAGGTATGGGGTTGCGGGTGACAGCCTGATGGGATCTTCTGATATGTGTCCATGTAGGGGAGAGGTACTGTGCTTGGGACAGTGTTTAATGTGTGTGATTGTGTGGGTCAAGTGTGTGTGTGTGTGTGTGTGTGTGTGTGTGTGTGTGTGTGTGTGTGCTGGTCAGTGTTTCAGCATGTGCCTGTGTGCCTGGCAGTCTGTGTGTGATGGTGCGGGGACGAGAGACTCAATGTCAGGGTCTCAGTGCTGGGAACATCCCTGAGGGTGTGAGGGGTATTGCGTGTGACCGTGTATCTGTGAGAAGGTACCTGAGTCTGAGAGAAGGTGCCTGCAGCTTTCTTTGCCCTGTCCATCCGGTCAGCTACCTCAGGAAAGGACCTTAAGAAAGCAAAACATGGATGCAAAAATACAGGACTAACAATGGGAAGCATGATCCAGGCTCTGAGCGGGGACCAGAAGAAAAGCGCGATGTTCCAGGAGGAAATGGCAGAGACTCTGCAGGGTTGAACCTAGTTGGGGTGAGGAGGGTGCTCTGTAAATTGTCTTTGGAGCCCTTCTGAGGGACCCCGCCTCCCTCCTTCCTCCCTCCTCAGTGATCAGGTGAGACTGAGCACTCTTTTCTCCCACCCCTCAACCCAAATGGTTCCCAGAAAAGGAAAAGTCCTGGTGCACACGCTCCTGCTGAGTCTGCGGAGGGTGCCCTGTGCCAGGGTGCAGGCTGTGGACGGAGCAGACAGCGGGCACCATCTGCAGGCTGGGAGCGCCTCCGTGTTCCACTCTGCATTTCCTGCTACTGCTCCTGGGGACATCCCCTCCTTACTGTCCCCTCCACCTGGGCATTGATCCTCCTTTTTTTCAAGCACTCCGGAAGTGCTGGTCCTCGGAAATACTAGCCTGTCCCGGCCCCTGAGACTCCCAATCTGTTGTCCTAACTAGCGTTGCTGCCCTGGGACAGCCATGTTAATTTCACTCTTCTGGGAGTTTATTGAAATGAGAAGGAAGACCCCCCCAGATTCAGGAAGCCAGGCTTGGGGTTCCAGCCTGTCTTCTAAACAGTGGAATCCCCAGAACCAGCCTCTTCCACGTGCCAGGGGCCATTGGAAGCAGAAGCTCAGTTGTCATGGTCCTTGACGCGTGGACTCTTGTGGCTCCTTTTCATGAAAGCCAGCTGAAGCTAGCCGTTGAAACGCGCACCAGATCATGGACCTAATTTGCGGGAGACCTGCAGGATCAGTGCAGATCTGACCCCCAAACTAGGACTGCTCACTGTTCCCTTTGTCACCCGGATGCCAGGACCTGTGGCACCCAGTGGCCCCAGCTTCCACAAGGCTTATCCCAGATCCTATCTCTCCCACCTTTCTCTTTGGCCAGGAATTGCCCTGGACATCTCTGTGGACATCCACGTGTACATGTATGTGTGTTCATGTGGGGAGGTCCATGAGTTGTGGCCATGCACACATTCATGCTTATGTACGTGTGTGTGTGTGTGTGTGTGTGTGTGTGTGTGTGTGTGTAGGGCAGAGGTCACACCTGAGTGGCGTTCCTCAAGAGCCATATGCCTTTTTGTTTATTATGTTTTGCTTCTGGGGTGGTAGTCTCTGTTTCTGGGACCTGGGGCTTGATTATCATGCTAAGCAGTGTCCCTCAGGGCCCTTTCCTGCCCCCCCTTCCCAGCTCTAGGATTAAAAGGATGTGCCACTATACTGAACTTGGGTTCTGGGTGTGAAATTTAAGCTTTCATGGGCTTGCAGGACGCACTCTGTAGACGGGGCCACCTCCCCAGTCTGCTCACCTCGGCTCCTTTGTGCCTACTGTGCCTTCCTGTTAAAATGCCTATCTTCCTTGCTAGGCCAGCCTCCATTTCCCCTTCCTGTACCTCTCAGCCCCTAGATGACCCCTCAGGTCAGCGCTGAGATCTGCCCTGACCACTCCCTGAGGTCTTAGACCCCGTGCCTTCTACATCATTTGTCCTGCGAAGCATCCGGCCCCAGCCACAGACAGCCCCGAGACTCTCAGGACAGTGTCTGTCCACCGTCTCCTCTACTTGGCACCATCTAAAATCGACACTCTATGGCTTCAGGGGGCAGAGGGAAAGACAAGGCCGCATCCTAACACAGCCCCAGTCTGATGGAGACAAAGTCCTGTTCTAACAGAGCCCCAGTCTGAGGGAGACCAGGGCCCGTCCTTACAGAGCCCCAGTCTGAGGGAGACCAGGGCCCGTTCTAACAGAGTCCCAGTCTGATGGAGACAAGGTCCCATCCTAACAGAGCCCCAGTCTGAGGGAGACCAGGCCCCGTCCTTACAGAACCCCAGTCTGAAGTTAATTTCATGTCTTCACTGCTCTTAGTCCAAGTCAAAGCCTCTTCGAAGCTCCCATGGTGGCTAGCCATCAAGGTCCCATCTCCAGCCTCCGACCCCTCCTCTCCATTGGGAGACACTGGTTTCTTGGACCTCCTCCGTACTCCCTGGCTAGACACACCTGCCGCCCCAGTTCCCAGCAATGGCCTTGCTTTCCGCCACTTCTCCTCCTAAGAGCAGACATGGTGAGGATTTCCCCCCTTGTCGCTGCCTGCCCTCACGGGCACCACTGCCTTCAGGGCAATGAGGATAGAGGAGGAGGAGGAGGAGGAGGAGGGAACTAGGAAAGGCAGTGGGGTGTGTGGCATCAGTCTGCCATGATTTAGTCCGATGAATCTGCCACCCCTCAGCAGTGGCTCCAATCACAACACCACCGTTGCCGTCGGCAATTGATTTCCCTTTTTCTTCTTTTGCTTTTTTATTCTCCAAGCAAATACTGCTGACCTTTGCTCTCAGAAGAACTTGTCCTTCAGGGCAGCCTCACCAGCACACTTACTCCAGAGATGTTGGTGGCATTCAGAGCAAGCTTGACACCCCCCCTCCCCCAGCTTCTGGAACTTTCCATGTCACCAGGAACAAGCACATGTCACTGTGTGTTGTTCTGTGGTGATGTCACATGAACTGGGACTCTGCGCAAACCAGGGCAGGCTCACCCAGAAATCAGATCTGGTGTGTGTGGGGGTGAGGTGGAGGTGTACTGGGACTTCGGGGTCGGGCATCTGAAAATCAACCGTTTTATTTCAGCACCTGTGTGCATCTTGTGAACTTCTGGGCTGCAGAGGTGGCTCATTGGGTGTTTGCTGGCAAGCCTGATGATATGAGTTCGATCCTCAGGACCCCACGCGGTTGGAAGGAGAGAACCAACTCCCACAGGCTGCCCTCTGACCTCCACATACCCGAGGCACACTGTGGCAACACATGTTCTCTCTTGTGTGCAACCATGCACATACATACACTCACATGCAAATTTAATTATCCCGACTTTAATGCATGGGACTTCCTGTTCATTTTGAGATCTATCACTTCTAAATGGGTAATATTTATAATCTGTAAGGATGTCTGTGAAAAAAGTTAAGAAAGCACCACAGCTCAAGGCTGGCTAAAGGGAGCACTCAGCAATATGAAGAGGGATGTGCTCAGTAGAATGGGTCTGTTAAAGCCACATTAAACTCAAAGACCAGTGCTGTTAAACTTACTTAGGCTCCTGTCCCTCTGTCACAGGTAAGAGGCCACCTCCCAGTGCAGGCACAGCTTCAGTGTTCTGGAACTTTTCTGTCTTCCCCCTGCCCTTAGTGCCCCTTATCCTCCTGAGGCTTAGCAACCAGGCTGCTAGCAGATCTGCCTTGTATTGGAAGAGACCCTGGGGTGCGGGAGGGTCTGTGAACCCCGCAGGGCCGCGGTTGAGTCCGGCAGGGGGAGTGGATGATAATTCTGGCTCTTTCTAAGACCTCACCGTGGCCACATCCTGCATCCCTGGGTGTCCTGCATCCTCTGGTGCTGCAGGTTAGCCACTGAGCTAGGCATGACTCTGTGTGCCAGCCTTAGCTCCGCTTCCTGAGATACTGTGTGCCTCGGATGGAGTCTTCTCTTGACTCTCCTAGAATGGCTGGAAGCAAGACAACTCCTGCATGACTGATATGGGGCGGGGGTGGGGGTGGGGTGGAGGGAGGAGCCCCAGGCTGTGATGCAGCCCTGTCCCTCAGGAAGTCTCCTTGCTGAGGGTAGATGAAGGGCAGATGGGACCATGAATGAGTCACATAGTCTCCCAGCTGCACTCCCCTTCACCCCACCTCCCTGAGCATCAATCCTTTAGACACTTGCTGGGTACTTTCCACATGTCAGCCTTGCACAGCCCCCTGGGCGGGATAACCACACAAACAGGTCCTGCCTGGGTCCCCAGAGTGGCAGTCACTGGCTCTTCTCCCCTCTCAGAAGTTCCTGGTGGGCTTTGGTCCCCCCCGGAGATTGAGGAACCAACGGGATGGGAGGAGGCGAGTGGGAATGGAAGGGGCTGATGGAGCCATGGGGCCTCCGTTTCTGCTCTCCCTCTTAGGGCGCCACGGTGTCCCTCTCGGAGACAGTGCAGAAATGGCGAGAATATCGACGCCAGTGCCAGCGGTTCCTCGTGGAAGCACCACCTCTGGCCGCAGGTGAGTCCGGATGCGCCCTCACGCCTGTGTCCACACAGCTCCAGGGAGGCTGTGAGGACCCAAGTCCATCGTCGTTGGTGTGGCTTGTCTCTCTGGAACGCTGTCTGCCTGGGCCTCTATCCCGGTGACTGACCGCACTGTGTCTTCAATGACGTGTCTTCCTGCTCCCTTCCCATCCAATTTCCTGCAGGCAGCTTTGTGGGTGCTACTTTGTCGCTGTCTTTACCTGTAGAGCAGGACCCCACTTTCCATTCTGTGTTCTCCTCAGCCCTTCCTTAACTGTGTGTAGATCGAAGGCCCAGTGTACACATTTATACAAACCTATCTTTTATTTTTTTCAGACAAGATCTCATGTAGGCCAGGCTAGCATCCTACTCACTGTGCCATGAATGATTTTGAACTTCTGACTCCCTTGCCTCTACCCCCCAAAACATTAGCATTCCCTGCCTGTGTACCACCACACCTGGCTTGTGCGGTGTTGAGGGCCGAACCCAGGGCCTTAGGCATGCTAGACAACTGAGCCAACAGGAGTAAATCTTTATAGGGTGGCTTAAAGGTCACGGCGTTGGAACCAGCTGGGCTTGGGTTCAAATCCTGTCTCTGATCATCGCGGTGACCTAGGGAGGGTTTCTTCAGCCTCAGGAGCCAGCATTTCCCTCTCATCTCTGAAGAACAGCTCAAAAATGGCTAATAGGAGATGCCCATTGAGCCCTTCCTCCATTCCTTCTTCCACACAGCACGCTGTAACAACGTGGGCCAGGGGATGCCTGCATTCCACAGAGGAGGACGTAGAGTTGTTAAGGAACTTGCTTAAGGTTCTGCCCTGATGAGTAACAGGGT